CACAGGTCTTAGGCTAATTGGCAACCACAGGTCTTAGGCTAATTGGCAACCACAGGTCTTAGGCTAATTGGCAACCAATGGTCTTAGGCTAATTGGCAACCACAGGTCTTAGGCTAACTGGCAACCACTGGTCTTAGGCTAACTGGCAACCACTGGTCTTAGGCTAATTGGCAACCACAGGTCTTAGGCTAACTGGCAACCACTGGTCTTAGGCTAACTGGCAACCACTGGTCTTAGGCTAACTGGCAACCACTGGTCTTAGGCTAACTGGCAACCACTGGTCTTAGGCTAACTGGCAACCACTGGTCTTAGGCTAACTGGCAACCACTGGTCTTAGGCTAACTGGCAACCACTGGTCTTAGGCTAACTGGCAACCACTGGTCTTAGGCTAACTGGCAACCACTGGTCTTAGGCTAACTGGTCTAAATGGCAACCGTTGGTCTAGGGAAAAGGTTACAATTACTGTCTTGGAAGGGTTAGAGATTTTCACTCATCCAATTCTTTATTCTACCTGCCAGTATTGATCCTGAAGTGTATTTGATATACCAACACTGGTAGAAAGTCAACAGAGACAAGAAACATAACTGCACAGACTGAATATGTTTATTTGTAACCAGAGAAGATAACAGAGACATGTTTAGAGACATGTTTGACCTCCATAATATAACATAAATGAAAGCACTAACAAGATAACAGGTTATTCTGTCACTGTCACCACAGTCTGCATTTACCACTTTTGAAGGCGGTGTAGACAGGGGGTCGTGAGCCTGAGGTTAACTGGACTCATTCCTGACCCCATACAGGAAGCAGAGCAGGTTACACCAAGCTGGTGACCTAATTATAACTTTGTTGGAGATGGAACAGGGTATCTGGGATTAGCCATTTCAGTTTACCATCAAGACTAAGATTTTTTATTTCAGGGGAATGGCCAAACCTTCGGATGCAACACAGAGAGCAAAAAATGCAAAGAAAGGAACACAGATTAGAGTGACAGCAACACCTGTCAGTGAGAACAAATCTCAGTGTGTTATGGTGCACTCACAGTATTGCATGAATGCGGCAAATTCACAAATGCACTTAGTGGCATTTGTTTAATTTAATAACAGCTCACTGCCATTCACGGAGCATCGTAGTAGACAAGAGAAAGAAATGGCTAGCAAAGACTACATCGGACAACAGAAAAGCTGGTAGCACACCAGAGACGGGGTGGCTTCACTCCACATGAAACTAGCTCTGCTGGTGCATCAACCAGTTGCTCAATCATTTCAAACATGTTTCCTGCTGCAGAGCAATGTCCATGCTTGGGACAGTGGTTCTCTGCAGCTTCATGTTTTTTTGCTTCCCTGTGTCTGTCCACTTTATGTATGGCAATCAATACCCTAGAATGTATTTATTTACTATTGCAACAGGTGTCAGTGTATTTCACTGCTTTACATTTCTCTGGTTAATGTGTGCTACAGTATCTTCAAAAAATGCAACAAGTTTAATACATAGATCTGTCTTATTTCAACTGTAAGCAAAATGAAATGTTCGTACCAAAACAATTATGTATATTTTGCCCTAAAACATACTTCTCATATGAAACTCGACTCGCTAACAATTGTCCTCAAAAGAACAAACAGCATTTTTTCCCAAGGATGAAAAAGCAATCTCAATTCCCTACAGAGCAAATATAATATCATCAGAAAGCAAGTGTACACCTACTTTCCCTTAGAACAAAACAATCCTGTGTCACTATATCAGCAGTTCTTCATGTCCATCATCTCAACAGTTCTGGTAATCTGGTAATTTTAATTTCAGCTTCATAGCCAACGGGTCACCCCATCTTTGCTCCGCTCCTGTGCCAACAAAAAACACACAGAATGTTTATCACAGTCCCTTGTGGAAAGACTGACAAACTGCTCTCTCAGCAAATCTAGCATACACTCGCATTAAAAGCATATTGTAGCCATCCAAAGGGCTAACACAAACAGTCCGACGTTAGAAATGCAGTTCATCATTGATGGTAGCAGAAGTCATTAAAAGATCAGCAGTTGTACACGAGATCAATTTTAATCAAATAATAGCCCCACCAATATTGCGACAACCGGCATTGCGCCATTTTCTGAATCTACAAATCACACCCCCACGTACAATCAACAGTTCTATGAAAGGACTGTGGACATGATCTGACCTTTAAATCATCTTGTATGAGTGTGACCTGTACTTCAAATCATCTTGTATTAATATCATCTAGACTTCTAATTATCTTGTGTCGATATCATCTCGACTTCAAATTATCTTATTCAGTGGATATGATTTAGACCTCTAATTAGCTTGTGTTGGTAGTGTCTGGGCTGATTTTCTAGCCATTGTGTAGATAATCTAGACTCTTATCAGAAAGTTATCCTGAAAATATCCCTGCCACTGTAGCATGCTGATTCTGAAGTGGACCAAACATGATGACAAGATCACTGTGAATGTCTAGGAATTCAGCTCTCACTAGACAACTAACATACAGTGCTTCAGAAATCAATTTGTGTGGCTGCAGATACAGGGAAAGGTGCCAGTCAACAAACCTGTTTGTCCCATCAACACCCAAAATCAGAAGCATATCTACCAAAATACAACATACTGCAGGGTTCCAATTGACAGTGAAACAGAAAAGGAAAGAACCAGGGGGCGGAAGTGAAATAAGGCTTCCCCCATGCTTTCTAGAGTCTCATTTTGTGAAGGAAAAAAAAAGAACATACCACTGCCCTCTAACAGGCACGTTGTAAAAGGTGATTAATTGGGGTTTTACTTAAATCAGATGTGCCGGGTGGAAATGGACAGATATCGCAGTCTACCTGTAGCCACAACTTAACCTGCCAACTGCCTTTTAAAGGAAAAAAAAACAGAAAAAGAAGTGAAGCTTGAAGACGTAGATGTGTGGAGGTATAAGAATGACAATGATATGTGACAAATATTTATATAAGTCTACTGTCTGTACGAGCATCACCGCAGAAATTACAGAATATACAAGCACACTAGATACACCAGGTGACTACAGATTTATATATAAATATATCAGCTGAATATATTCACTGGTAACATGGCTACATGCAGAACAATGGGTGCTCCCTGTGGAATCATTATCACAATGTACAGTCAAACAATTCTTGCAGTTATTCTGTCATGCCACGGTTGACTGTTTCTGTCACCAGACAAGACTCACATGTGACACTGGTAATTCTGTGTCTAATGATTGTGTTGAGTATGAATGTAAGGCTATCTTTGCATGCATCTGTCACTATGTTCACTGCTCTATTCCATGTGTGGTTTTTGGGGCCCCACCTAGAGAGAGAGAGAGAAAGAGAGAGAGAGAGGGTGGACCTAATGGCAAAGTCATGATAACGGAGATGAGATGTCTTAGAGAAGCTGCTGAAGAAGAAATAAAACTGAAAATGAGAGCAAAGAGAAGGCCATGGAAAAGATGCAACTACAGCATCATTAACTGCCTTAAAGCACTAAGCTCCAGCGGCTCTTGTAATTAATTAAATCCAAGCAATTACATATTATGTTCTTTCATGATTCACATTTGGTTAGAGAATGCTAGTGAAATCTGGCTTCCTGCGTTCCAGTCACTGTACCCTTGTCCTAATAAAAGTTATATACTTATGACAGTTCATACTGGTTAATGTGCGCCCTTTGGAAATATATGCAGAACTTTCTGGGATGCAAACAGTTAAAGAAATGAAGATCAACTTAAGCTATGCATTAGAAAGGGCACAGAGAAGATTCTTACATCTTCCCCCAATACTTGAATGGGGTAACTGGAGGAAGAGAAGAAGAAGAGGAAGTAGTAATGTAGTTGTTGTTGTCATTGTGTCACCTTGGGTATCAGTCATGACCTGGGGTAAAAGAGTTACATACATACACACAGACACACACCAGGATCTAGCCACGTACAGCTGGCAATAGCTGCCAGACTCCCAGGTGCACCCATTTACTGCATAACTCATTCGTTTATATCAGCAAAAAATATTTTTTTTAAACTCAATAATGAGACAAGAATACTTTGACATTATCACAGGAAAAAGATGTTTAAAATATCTGCATCTTTGCTTTTCTGGATCCGACAATAAACATGAACTGAGCATTGGTTTGACTGAGATAACACAGATGTTTAACTAGAACTTGTGCAACCAAGAACCATATTTTTACTTTAATTGTAGAGAATCCATGTTTACAATAAATTATGTAAACGAAGCCAGAAAAAAATATAAATGCCACAAACCACATCTGCAGGCATGTTTATTGAAAATATTTCTAGAAAAATTAATCTTGTGAAAATAGTAATTTCCAGTACCAGTTAAACAGTTATGTTATCATAAAAAATTTTTATAAAAGAAAAAAAAAAATGATTGGTAAAAATAAATGCCAAATTAGATATGATGAAGCATTATCAGCTTTAACTGTTGATCTCTTTGCACAATTAGTTGCTGAATGTGATCTGCACAAAATTTCAATGAACACAAAAGAAACACATACACAAGTTTCATATTCACCTAAATAAACCCCTAATTATAGTAGATATTAACTGCAATATGATACATTATCAATGAAAGAAGTTGTAAAATAAAGCTATCTGCGTCTGAACCAACTGCAACAAGACTGGCTTGACCTTTTTCCCCTCAGTAAAAGGCCTGTGTTTTCTGATATCGAACACTTGTTCCAACAGAACAAACTGACAACTGTCAAAGCTGATAAAACCAAAGCTACTATATACAATACTTAAATAAACTCTAAGAAATTCAGTATAAGCATAAAACAGCAGTCAGAAAAATGTGACGCTGAGCATAGATCAATCTAGTGTGTACGCAGACTGGTCGGGATAGCTAAGGCACTGGAGCCAAACAAAATAAAATCAATACTTAAATTATCAGACTGTCTGATTTTCTGAACGCCAGAACTGTAAAAAAAAAAATGAACATAACGCAGAGGATAGGGAGAAGTCAGTTCTCCAAGGAAATGTGGTGTCACTTGGCTCTGATGCTAGCCTTGGATGGTGGTCCATCCAAGGCTTGTTGCACACCATTGATAGTCTTGGACTTGAGAACTCCATCCTCCTCTATCATCACTGTTTCCTGTCCATTCTCCACAACTCTGAAATAAGGAAGAAACATGGATGAACATAATCAGCAAAAGACAGACACCCAATTATTTCAAAAAGCAAGAAGAGTCAACTAAAATAAAAGACTGAAGGACATTAATTGACTACAATTGCAGTAAATTAAAGGACTCTTTTTTCACAGCCCTAAGTATTTTGGGTGACATATTTTATAGATCATTGGCATGGATGATGTGGTCAGCCTCACACAGAGTGCCTTTATGTCCCAGGACTTTACCTGTCACCCATTTCAGGCTGGGTTACCCTGGTAGCCAAGATCCTTTTGTGGAAAAAACCTCTTTGTATATGGATACGAACCTACGATTTGCAGGCCAACAATGCTACTCCATGACGGCTCCACTAAAAGGCTAGTGTGATGTTGCAGGTCTAGACCATTGACTGCAGACTGGTCTATGTAAATTCAGGTCTAGCAAACATGACCTTTGTTCCAAACATGTCCAAAAAAGGGTGCTTTATTCTACACATTAAAAAAAAAAGCATTTCCTTCTATAACTTAGCTGGTCACGTCAACATGCAGTATCTGGGCTTTCCAGCAAGTTGAGCCAAGTCTGCAAACACAGCAAGAAATTATTGCACACAAGTCAAGGGCATCTAGGAGACACACGACACATGCTTACAGAATTCAGCCTTCTCAGAATTACACAGACCACCCTGCCAAAGCAACTATTCTTCATTTCCAGACTTTAAAAAGCAAGACACAATAACCGCTATATGCAGCTACCTCCTCTTCACTGTCCACCTGCTGTAAGCTCCAGCGGAATGTCCGTGCTGTTCGTCCATTCAGACTTTGGTTTTATGCCAGGGCCTGAGTGTTACATGTACATCCGTTTCACTTGCTTATTTTGGTGTAGATGGTTGTTCATTGCTGTCCGTGCAGATGCATTCCGACTTCAAAGGAAGCACACAATTAGCCGACTCTTACAACGTGCTTGTTGGGGAGACAATGGGTCTATCCTGGTTTTCTCCATAATGGAGTCCCAGGACCCACAAAATGAATATACAACTATGAAAACTTACTTTCTGGTGACAATTTTCTTCCCATTTATGATTTTAGTGGAGGTTGAGGTGGAGCGAAAGTTGCCTCCGATTGTGGGACCTCCGAAGCTTGTACTGGAGAAGTGGGTTAGCCTGTTGAAAAAAAAAAACAAGAATGTGTTGTGAATATATCTGTTAAAGAAGCAACAAATGTCGCAGCAAAGCAAAATACAGCCACCAACCAATATCTGAACCACAATGATGGTGGGGAAATAATAATATATTCTGTTTGCAGTTCTGTCTGTCCACACAACAGTGTTATACTGTGCCAGGGGGGCATGGAGTCACATTCATGGCGATGGCCAGTGGGAACAGCAAGATCCGCTTGTATTCAGAACAATCTTCCACAATTAAACAAGAGATTTCATTATCACTGCTGCCATATATATATATATATATATATACATACACACACACACACACACGCACGCACACACACACACACACAGAGAGAGAGAGAGAGAGTAATGTAAGTAATGGTTACATCAAAGAAGAAGATAACTCCACATTGTGATATATCAACTGAGTGAAAAAGACTTAACCAGTCAAAAAATTCAAATATCTGGGAACAATCATATTATCAAATGGAAAACGTGTGACAGAGATTAAAAGCAAAATAAGTCAAGCAAAAGAGCTGAATTTCAGAAAATGAAAAATATCTTATGCAATAAATTGCTCATTTTATGTCTGAAAGAGGATGCTAAAATGTTACATAGAACCTGTTCTGCTGTATGGCTGCGAATTTTGGAATGTCAGTCAACAAATTAGGAAGAATCTGAAAGCAACACAGATGTGGTTTCTGAGACGAATGTTACGAACACCTTGGACAGCCAGTAACTAACAACGATTACTTGAAAGAAGCTAATGAAAGTAGATCTCGATATACAACAATAAGAAAGAGACAAACACTGTTCTTTGGCCACATAATGAGAAAAGAGACATTGGAGAACATCATGACAACTGGTAAGATCAGTGAGAAAAGGGGTAGAGGCAGACCAAGAGAGATGATGCTGGATGGGCTGAAACGATGGCATGGAGGGATGGATATCATCAATACAGCTGTTCCAGGCAACCAGGATCAAGATCACTGGAGACGCATGAGCGCCCAAGTCAGTTCGCAGGGGCATATGATGATATTATATATATATATATGATATATATATATATATATATATATATATATATATATATATATAAATATATATATATATATATATATATATATATATATATATATATATATATAACTTGCACACACACACACACACAAGTATATAAGGGCTTGAGGTTGGTTTAGGGAGATTGGTTGAGGGCCTATGCTCCACAGGGATAAAAAAAAGGTAGTGAGAAAAGGGCTCAAGATAAAAATAAACACATACTGTCCAGTTTCTAGAAGATGCTGACTGCCCCCTAAATAGTCAGCCTTTTTCATTAGTCAGATCCTGAATATTATTTTTATAATCCCATTTGCACAATTTGTATGATCACTCTCTCTTTCACGCACATGCACACACCCTCTCTCTCTCTCCACATCTCACACACACACACACACCACTCTTCTCCATCCCACTAATTTTTTTATTCTATTTATCTCTTACTCTCTTTTCAACTCTTTTAATGTGTCCACTACTCTCTCTTTACACTTTCCTCCTCTACTTCCATCCCTCATTTTCTCTCTACCTTATCTCTCTGTCATAATGTATCAAAGTGTCAGTTGTAAAGAATGGATTCCATCAGCATTACACTCCCTAGTGTTGCCAACACCTACACTCCCACACTGACATACATCATTGCAGCCACACCATTACACTCCCTAGTGTTGCCAACACCTACACTCCCACACTGACATACATCATTGCAGCCACACCAGCCATTTCCTCCCTTCTTGAAAAAACAATCAGAAATAAGAATCTATTGCAGTGGAGTGTTCATGTCAGAAAGGAACTCAAAAACACATACTTCATTTAGAGATATAAAAGGAAAGAAAAATATCAGGACACACTGAATGTCAGACTGCAGTGCATAACAACAGACTAATACAAAGTCAAAATTCATACAAGCTGGGGAATTATTTACAACTGATACAGCACCCCAATGTTTGAAGTTTTACAGTAGCAGTATGAAAGTGAGACTAGCATAAGCATCTCTGACAGGTGAAAGGACTCAAAACCAGGTACAAGTTCCTGCAGGTATCAGATGGCTGGGAAAATACTTGCACTGTCAGGTTAACAGAGCAGATTCTATGTGATGGATGGGTGACTAAGCAGTAAAGCAAGCACTGGAGATTAGATTAATTAGCAGATGATTCCAGGCAACAAACAGAGAGGAAAACACAGCAACAGTATTATACTGCAACAGTTGTATTTAACACTAGTAGCACATTAGACTGGCTTTTTAAATACAAATACCCCCCTATAAAAAAAATAAAGTTTGTCCGTTCTCTTTCTGTCTCATTTTTTCCTACTCTCTTTCTCTTATTTGTTTTCCTACTCTCTCATTTTCTCTTCTCAATCTCTCTCTCTTCTCGTATGTGAACATTTTTTGTTTTACTGCTCTTCTTCTATCTTTTGGTGGACATATAACAAAAAATTACTGTCTCTTTTTTACTCTTCTACTCATTCATTCCCTCTCTTATATTTGTGGGTGTGTGTGTGTGCACGTTTGTGCACAGCTATGTGTATATTGTATTTTTGTTTCTCCTCTTTTACCACAGGGTACACAGCTTTGAATGAATTGTCTCTTTCATTTTTACTCCCCCCCCCCCTCCCCCACAAATGTGTGAATGTTAATGTGCGCGTGTGACCTGTACATGCGCTCATTTGCCAATCTCACTCCCAACTTCAAATGGCCTCTTTTTCCTCCTACTTCATTGATATTTCCCCTACCCTTCTTTCTTTCTTTTATTTTTTTAAATCTCCTCCCTCACTCTCACTATTTCTTCTTTTTGTCGTCCAACTCTCTCCCTGTATCATCTATCATCCTGCAACCTCTCTCCTTCTCATAATCACCTAACTTCCTGCCTCATTCATCTCTCTCTTCCCCTGGCATAACTGTTTATCCCTCTCTAGGAGACACTGGAAGAGAGGTTTATAGACATATGTCTGGCCCTGATCCTAATGACAGCATTAACCATCTAACAAGAAGGGACCAGGCCACCATCTTCAGACTTAGAACGCAACATACTCCACTCAATGGACACTTAAACAGAATACAGCCACAACACTCCCCAGAGTGCCAGCTATGTAACTACCCCTACGAAACTGTTGAACACCATCTCTTTGAGTGCCCAAAACTCAGTGAGACAAGAAGAACGCTACTCCCTCCGAGACCAGACAAGTGGAACACCTTGTACGGAGGAAAAGAACAGCTTGTGAAAACATGCAAATTCCACTACATGGCATTGGGCCAAAGGGCGAAAGCTCATGCGCCGCTGGATCGATAACAACAACAACAATCCCTCTCTGTTCTAATTTACATTTCTGAAGGTTTCACTATTACATATATATTTCTTTTTTCACTCTTACTCATTAAAAAAAACTGTCAAGAACACCAAAGGATGAGGGATGTGAAAATAAAATAATCACACGACAACACAAAAATAAAATGTTCATTACATTCTGCTTAAAGTGAACAGTTCAAGTCTATTTACACACAGCTTACTACAATGATCTCAGACACGAGGCACCACATATCCAGTCAAATGACATAAGTGAAATGAATCAGGAAATTAAAGAAATGAAAAAGACAATTAAAATAATGAAGCAGGCAACCAATTACACATATAAAAACATATTTGTTTTAAGTATAGGACCCTTGTCCACGCTTTTAGGTGTAATGGACATATAGGGCTGGAATAATATTTTATAGACAAATTGACACTTGGAGATGTGGTCAACATCATGCCGGCCACCTTTACTTCCCAGGACTTGAAGAAGAAAAAAACATGCAAGCACACACACCAATACACCACTGCTGGGAACCTTCCAACAATGTGGGAACCTTCCAACAATGTGGGAACCTTCCAACAATGTGGGAACCTTCCAACAATGTGGGAACCTTCCAACAATGTGGGAACCTTTCACCAATGTGGGAACCTTCCAACAATGTGGGAACCTTCCAACAATGTGGGAACCTTCCAACAATGTGGGAACCTTTCAACAATGTGGTTATAACCTGTCAGCTGACCCCCACCCCCTCCCCCCCCCCAAAAGAGTGATACCCAGAAGACCAGAGATAAGTCATCCTCCTCAGTTAACTAGTGCAGAGATTCTCAATTAGCAAACTCCTGAAAACCCAACTGATTTGTTTAAAGTTTGCCATATTTTGAAAGGTAGGGGGGGGGGGGGTGGGGTTTATGGTGTAGCAGCTAGACACCTGCCTGCAGATCAGGAGATCCTGGGTTTGGGTCATGACAAAGCCAGACATTTTTCAAAAATGACCGTGTCTTCCAGGTCAACCCAGCCTGGAGTGTGTACCAGGCATAGTCATGGGAAGTAAAGGCAGCCAGCATGATGTTTACCATATCATCCAAAAGTGCCGACTGGTCTATAAAATATAGGTCTAGCCCCATGTGCCCAATAAGTCTAAAAGCGTGGAAAAGGGTCCTTTACTTTACTCTACTATATTTTAAAGTCATAATGGTTTTTTTTCTTTAAATCATATCAGAGTTTACAATCTCAACTGTCCTCAATCTTTATCAACCATCAGCTGTTCTATTTTATCCCCCCCCCCCTCCCCCCAGTCAACTCATTTTTATCTATTCCCATCCAACTTCTAGAGTAG